GGGCAACGGCCCGTCTCCAGGTGTTGCTAAGACGGAGCCCATCATCTCTATTGAGGTTTGTGGGCCTCCTAGAGATTTCCGAAGCCTCTTTGATCAAACGAGGCCACCACCGGTCTTCTGTTGTTTTCGTGGTAATTGACAAGGCGACACGTTTCCGCGGCGTGTTGTGCCAAGGCCGATTTGTGGATATGTTGAAGCCGGTCATGTCGCATGTGCTCCCACATACGCTCTTCTACGGTGCGCCCGGTTTGTCCGATGTACACTAGACCACAGCTGTACGGGATTCCGTAAACGCGGGCATCTTGAAGAGGGTCCAGACGATCCTTTACCTGTACCAGGCTCCTCCCGATCTTGTTGCGAGCGTGAAACACGGGGCGGATATCGGCTCTGCGTAGCAATCTACCGATCTTGTCCGTGACTCATTTGATGTAAGGCAATCGGGCTGTCTTCCGGGGCGGGCTGGAAGGTTCGTTTCGTGCATTCGGGGTGGTAGAGTGGAGCCTCGATAGGGCTTGGTTCACGGCGGATCCGCTGTATCGATTAGCCAGAAAGGTTTTCTCAACAGTACCTTCTCAGACGCCAGCTGTTGGGGTCACATATAAGGGAAGCTCGGCGAGCGAGTGTGGAAAGGACACCACGTTTCGTGGCAGGATGATGGTGTGAGTCAGCATGTAGGTAGCGATTGGTGAGGGAGGGTGGGTGAGGTTTGCGGTAGACAGAATGACCGAGTGTGCCGTCAGGGCGCCTGGTCACTAGCACGTCCAGGAAAGGGAGCTGCCCGTTTTCTTCTATTTCCATAGTAAAGTCGATGCGAAGATGGATGTTGAGGTGTTCGAGAAAGGTGTGAAGAGATTCGGAGCCATGGGGCCAGATGACGAAAGTATCGGCGACGTAACACAGCCATAGCGATGATTTAAGGGGGCGCGTTTTCTAGAGCCTGCTCTTCAAAAGCTCCCATGAAAAGGTTCGCGACGACCGGGGACAGCGGTGAGCCCATAGCGGTGTTTTCTGTCTGAGCATAGAACTCTTGTCCGTATTGAAAAAGGTGGTCGTCTCAGTGAGCTTGGCCCACTCCCTCGGAAGTGGCACTCCCGTGGCAGCAGTATAGCTCTGAAGAAGGCCACAGCAAGATGGCCGAAACGTCGGTACAATTGACCGAGACACGGCTCATCCCGTATAGCCAAGAATACATTGACTCCGGCCGCGGAAGCCTACGAACCCATACCGTTAATCTGTCCGTCTTTGTTCGTCTGTCAGAGAACAACGCAAGCGGATAGACGTTCAACCCGGTTTTCTCCAAAATCGATATTCCCCAAACAATCAGGACGATTTCTCGACTCCTTGAATTTAAAAGCGATATTTTAATTTTGGGGGTACTTTACAAGAAACCCCTGGCACATTTTCAAAATTAAAAACAAAATTTCACCATCGATTTTGATTAATTTTGAGTCTAATCTAAAGGACATTTTAGAAAATTGCGAAGGTCTCATTGCTTAAAAACTCGAATTTTCGAAAATTAAAAAAATCAAAATTTTTTCGGTGCCTTCCTATAACTAAAATTTTAAAGATATAGATTTTTTTCGTAATGAAATTTGTCCTTATAGATAGATTTTAAGACAAGGATATGTACAATTTTTCGCGTAATGTTGCGTGAAATATAGGCAATTTTTAATTTTTGTTTTAACATTTTTTTCTCAAACGGCTCCATCGTTTTAATAAAATTTTGTTCATGGATAGTCTAAAGGGCATGTAAGAAAATGGTGCAGGTCTCATGTTAATTGAAAACCCTGACTTTTCGACAATCGAAAAAAAACAAAATTTTTTCGTCATTTTCCGACAACTTCAATTATGAAGATACCATTTTTTCTTAAAGCAAATATGTTCATCAAAAACAGATTTTCAAATAAGGTCATGTTGAATTTTACGAAACTATGCGTATATTGGGAGTAATTGAGAGTCTATGTTAGACGCTCTGTTAAACTCTGAAAATACTGTCCTTCTTGATCGTAATGTTAGGTTTTTTGAGGCATTGGATGTTACGTAAGTTAGATTGTGTGTAGTATTTCATATTTCTTTGTTCATTCCTTACATCGGTACTTTTGTTGTATGTTTACAAATTAATCTTTTACAAATTATTTAAAATCTATCTGAAATAAATATGAAATAAAGACTGCAAGCTTTCAGTCACCTGCTCCCAATTTATGCAGTTGGATCCTATGTAAATTAGAATTTGTTATTATTTCTTGTTTCATTTTATTATTATTATTATTATTATTATTATTATTATTATTATTATTATTATTATTATTATTATTATTATTTATTATTATTATTTATTATTATTATTTATTATTATTATTTATTATGTACTTGTTATTTCATTTTAAATTGCATCTATTAATTCTGTTAAATATGAAAACTTAATTGATGAGCAGTCATTGTTGGTTGTTGTTACCCGTTGATGAAATGCCGCACAGATAAAATGATAATGACGGCTGCTTTTCGTTTGCAGAAATAAGAATGAATACTGTTCTATATTTGTAGAATATTACAACACTATAGTGTTTAATAATTACTATTATATATTTTTCAATCAATTAGTTTTCCAATGCTATCTTGTTATTTATAAATTTTTAAATATTTTACTCTCTTGGATTCTGCTTAGCCCCCCTTATTTTCCTTCTTATGACTTACAGAAATAACTATTTCCTAAAAGAAATATTTTTGCTTTCATAATCAAAGGTCATATAAAAATAAATATTACGATAAAATTTCAATACTTTCCTTTTGCTTTTTAGGCCAAGTTCTCACCAAGAACACTATTCGAGAGATAATTAATTTTGCATACGAAGAGGGTTTGTTTCTTATTGCTGACGAGGTAAGTAAAAAGTGAAAATTGCAGCCTGAAATTTGTAATTCAGAAATTCATGGAATTATATTATATGTTTATGCATCATTTGAATCTTGTGTTAGGTTCATCAACAGAATATATATGACAACAATAGTGAATTCCATTCTTTTAAGAAGGTGTTAATGGAAATGGGTCTACCATATTCTAAAATGGAATTGGCTAGTTTTATGTCTTCTTCAAAAGGTAATGTAATAAAGTTTATATGAAAATTGATTGTAGTTCAATCGAACAGCAATGGTTGGAATATCATAAACGAACAAAATTTCTTTTCATATTAAAGTTTTTCAGAACAAACATTGAAATTGTTTTTGAAGATTTTTTATTTGAGTATGATTGAAAATGCACCATTTCTGCTCCGCTAGAGCTCATAAATGTTTTTATATTAAAAAAAGAAGAAAGAAAATAACTTTTGTGTTTATCAAAACATTAAATACAGTAGTAATATCATCTTTAAGATACAAGAGAAAATTCAAAAAATTATGTAATTGTTGAAAAATCAAAATTTTTAATGAAAACTACCTAATGCTCTACCCAAAAGTTTATAGTTCAGTAATGTAGATGTGGGAAAATTCTGAAAAACCTGAACATTTGCAGATTTCAAAAATTTAAAAATCACCAATGTCATTAGTAAGGTTTAGGTCCCATGATCTTGTTTTCAGTATTCCCTTGCACTAGTTAGAGTGTACCTGGTTTTCCCACAATTCCCTTGGGTCTGCTAGGGTCTCTCTTACCTCTTGGTCTGTAGTGCATTACCATCTTGGTAATCTACTTGGTTGCATTCTTTTTATGTTATTGCCATATTGCCTGATATTTTTCTCTTTCAGTGATCTAATTATTTATTTTGAGTGTTTTCCGTATTACTTTGTTTCTTATTTAGTCTTTCCATGTTACTTGTAGTACTGCTCTCAGATATTTTTTTAAGGCTGCTGCCATTCTCTATTTATCTCTTTGAGTACCCGTTCATATTGTAAGGTTGGTTTTGCTGCTATGTTGTGGAGTCTTATTTTTGTTTCTTTATCCACGTTTTTGGAGGAACTGTTAAAACGGCAATTAATCTTTTTAATTTTTGTTAGTTTTGTCTCAATATCTTCCTCTCTTCGTGATATCTTGCTGCCTACAAATGTGAAGTTTGCTACTTGTTCAATTATCTAATTTTATATTACAATTTTTACTTCACAGTATTACAATCTTTCACTTACTTTACTTATATTACAATCTTTTCTTCCTATTCTTATTGCCTTGTTTTTTCCTATTGATCTATTTGGTATGCGTGTGTCTTTTCGAAGTTCATCTTCAGTTGTAGCAAGAACCACCTGTCATTGGCGTTAAATATTGTATTTTTGTATCTCATCATTATTGCTCCTTCCATTTTTTTCTTCCAGTCTTCGATCATCAATGTTTCATTTATTACAGGCATCTAATGGTATGAAACATTTTTGGAGTACAGTAATTCACCTTTTAATTTAGTCAGTCATTGTCAGCCGTACTCAGTCATAGCCTTTTATCCCTGTGGCCAAGGACTCGGTACTGTCAGATCCTGGGGTTCCTAGACGGTCCCCCGAACAGGAACCTACTAAGGCTCGAATTTACATAAACATAAATATGAATGTACATGCCCTTAATGAAAGAACAAATTATGGACAACAAATTTTATTTGAAGAAAAAAATCTCTATCTTTAATTTTGTTGTAGGAAGACCCTGAAAAAACTTAAAACTTTGTGTGAATTTTGCTCTATTCTTATTAGAAATTTAAAGAAAAAATTCGGAGCCATTTTTGAGAAAATTTTGAAAATGTCCCAGGGGCTTTATGTAAAGTACCTCTGAAAACCAATGAATGATTTTCAAAATCTCAGAACTTAGACTCAGACCAATTGGACAGGGATTTCTTCAATTTGGAAAAAATCCTTTGCATGGTTTAGGCACTAGTGTTATTCACATGCCCCAGATGGACAGATGGACATTGTGAAATAAACAATTTTGATATCAGGGAACTCCCAATCCGTGTATTGACAGCAATATCTTGAAATCTATTTTCTGCAGCATTATATAACTGTCCCTATACTATGTATATTACACCATATACAGGAAAGTCAAAATGATGTATTGAATACTTATCCCCACTCCTTTACTAACAAGTTCAATTAAGAAAAATTACAAAGAGTTCAGAAAGTCAAAATTAAAGAAAAATGGAAAAAAAAAAAAAAAAAAGATGTTATATAAAAATTGGACATTTCCTTTCCATTATGACAAAAGGAAATGACCCATTTTGATAAAAATTTTGTTACAAAAAGGCATTATTCTAAAGTGAACAGAAGAAAAAAACAGACGTTTCATTAAAATTCACCCCTACTAATCTATCAGATATCCATTCACATTCTATAATTTTATTCTTTAGTTTTTTGTCTATCATTACAGTCTCTCCTGATAAAGCCCTGTTTTCTTCTTCAGCTCCTGTACAGATCATTACATAAATCATTACATAATGTTCCATTTCCAAACTGCCTACTCTTTTATTCTTTGTTTCTGTTATGATGGTTATTCCAATTTTACATTGTTTTAGTTCCCGCTCTAGCTTCTTTTCCTTGTAGTTTAGCCCTCGAACATTCCATGTCTCTCTGTACTAGGCAAGACAGCCTGCGAACAGGACAAGGTCTACCACAGCCTCTTTCAATTGCATTAGTCTAATATACAGAAAATAGAGAGGAAACAAAGATTTGTTTTTCAAATTTTTCAATATTGATACAAGTTCAATTAAGGAAAATTATAGCAATGAGCATTGATGTCACAATTTCATAACCAGGAATGCTCACTCCCATGTAATATTTTGCACTGAAAAATGAGCTACATTTTTCATGTAATAGTCCTGTTGTCAAAGTAAAACCCTGCACACCTCTTGCATATGGCAAAATGAGGGCTAAAGAAAACATGCGTGGTTAATACATAAATCATATATGTGTATTGTAGGCAAAGGCAGTGTTAAAAATTAGTTTCTGATTTTCATGTGAATATTAAACAGGGTATATGGGAGAATGTGGAATGCGTGGTGGCTATGCTGAAGTCATTAACCTTCAATCTGGTGTAAAAGCTATGTATTTGAAGAGTATTTCAGCAAATCTTTGCTCTACTGTTCTTGGACAGGTAAGTTTAATTTCCCAAGTATTAAAAAAAAAATAAAAAATTGTCTTTTGGAATAAATCTTAACATTACGTTTCTGCATTATTGAGTCTTGTGAAATTTTTAGTCTATTATGCCCAAAATTGGATACATTTCTACTTCCAAGTTGTACATAGTTTGCCATTCTTTTGGGAACATTAGAAACCAATTTGGCATTCTCCTGCAATAAAAAACCTATTAAATTGGAAATTATTGTAAATTTTTTTTCTACATTATTACGATATGAAGATTCTTCAATCACTGTAGAATCCAAAATTTAACAGCTTGGGCTAGAGACTTTTAGATGCCTCTACTAGAAATGAATTTAATATTTCTGAAATAACTTTCCAAAGCAAGGCAAGAGACAGTGAGCATCCAAGCAAACGAGATTAGTTGCCAAAATAGCCTAATGCTAACCCAGAAGAAGCATGTTTTGTCTTGCATAATGATGATTAATGTTTGAATTAATATGATAATATTGAGAGTATCACCAAAGCATTAATTTTGAATTTGCCAATCTAGTGTCAGAACAGGTCATCAGATTGACTGAGCAGGTGTCAAAATACAAACTTTCCCTCGTATATCAAATAAACCTGGTGAAGTTTCCATATCTCAGGCGAAATCCAATAGGTCAGATATCTCCATTGACTGTTTTGCCTAGTCAGATTATTTCAAGAACATTCTGTAGTCACTCCAAATTTCTAGTCCAATTATGCTTATAAACTTCTACCTCCTGTATATTAACTGTAATACCTAAGTACTGTAACTAAGTAACTGTCATACCTCATTTATTACACTGAAACTGATGAATCTCAGACCCATCTTATTTAACAATTTCTCCCTTTTCTTAGATAGCAATGGATTGTGTTGTGAAACCACCTGAGCCAGGAGGGCCATCGTACAAGTTGTTTGTCCGAGAAAAGAATTCAATTCTGAAAATGCTTACTGAAAATGCTAAAATTGCAGTAAACACATTCAACTCTATTGAAGGCATGTCTTGTAATGTGGTCCAAGGAGCAGTGTATGCTTTCCCTCAGGTTAGTTTAATGATTATTAACTTAAGCATTAGCTTAAAGTGCTGACAAATTTTTTGTTCTTTGGATAACATTTAGTTAGGTACTATTCTTTAAAGAACCCAATAACTATAATGTGCAAATATTTTATAACTATGACTTAGATATAATATCTGTTTATTCTTAAAAATTTCATGCAATTAAGATCTATACTTTTGAGATTCGTGGAATTGACTTCTGGATTACTTTGCTGCTCAGTTATGAATTATTCTTTAAGTGTTTTTAGTGAAGAGAATTTAAGTCCATTTCTTCGTAAAGTAAGTAAATAAACAATTTCAAAATTATTGAATCTATGTTAATTTTATACATTGATTGTACAATCTTCAAGTAGTCACAAGTGATACCTGTACAGTATATTTTATCTGACACTGTTCTCTTTAGGGGTCATTCATAAATTATATAACAGTAAAGAGGGGGGAGGGGGTTTGAGGCATTGTTATGCTGCCTTACATAGAGGTAGGGGAGTATTAGTTTATTGTTATATTTATTGATAATTTTTCAGCATTTGCTGCAGTAATTACTAATTAATAAATTTTTCAACATTTGCTGCAGTAATTACTTTTTGTGTTGTACTAAAATAATATCTAATTAATTTGGTTTTAAAACATAAATAAATTAAAATGATTAGATATAAATTATTACAATAAATGGATTTTTTTTTCCCTCAAACATTTTCTTGCTTGTGTCCTTCCTTCACTCACAACTTGCCCCAATCTTATTGTTAGGTGCAGTCTCCTACTAATTTTGACTTAATTACCATAAATTTTTATATACAATACAAATTGTTTTTATTGTGCTATAATATATTATCATTTCTTACATTTACGAGGGGTCATAAGCATTACGTAATTTCGGGGGGGGGGGGTGAGTCAAGCACGTTACAAGGGGGAGAAAGGGTCTTCAAATGAGTCGAAATACTTAATTTATGGATGGCCCCTTAGGCAATTTTTTTGCATTTTAAAAATCTGTCACGTATCATGTGATCAATTGTTATAATAAGGAATGAATAATTTTGAATCATTGTAACAAAATAAGAATGCTCTTTTCAGCACAATTTATACAATTTGATTCCCCGACCTTCTTTCTTCTTTAAGCCTTTGTAGTTAGTCTTTTTTTCCCCAACTCATGAATTCTAGGCCCTCAGTTGCTTTGCTGCACTAAAATGTCAAGCAAGAAGGATTTCATTTAAGAGTTTCTGCACAATCCTGTAGAATAATTTCTTAATTAACTTCTAGAATCTTCAGTGAACTGATAATGACAAACTAATTTGAAATATTTTAATTATAACTCAGTGAACACAACCTCTTCCCATATCCTACTTGTAATCATTACGCTATCTGTTTAAAAGTCTAATGTGTAAACTTTTTTATATATGTCTCACTCCCACAGTGTAGTGGTTAAGGAGGTAGCTGCAAGTGGCGGAATCTGTGGGTTGAAATCCCACCTCGGGCATGAAGGTTTGCTTAGTGCTGGGCTTCTTCCAACCACCATGTGCCACTTTAAATGCTACATTCCTTCCCTGACTTCTCCTTGCTTGAATGTTGTATGCATGCCAGGGGGAGCACACTGGGCTTAAGGGCCACAATGTAAACACCACCTGACTGCCACTAAACTTTTCTACTTGCAAAAGGGGTCAAATGGTGCCACGGGCTTATGAGTGATTGCGGAGTGAATTCTAGAGTCAAGTGCCTCTAGAGTGAAAAGAGGCAGTGACATCAACTGAGGGCTGAAAGAGTCAGTGGATAAGTAAAAGGTTAAGTTTTCATTAAATGTTGTGTAATATTGATGATGAATTTGTTTGTGTATGGTCATTTGCTATGTTTTTTGTTTTTTGTTCTCATTTTGTTTTATCACATTGTGTGAAGCCAGACCTATGCCACTACTATTCCTATTTAGCTTAAAGACGACATAGTGGCTTAGTCCACCAAACACCCTTGGTCTCCTCCTTCAGAATTTCTTCAGACATGTAGATTATATTAAGGATGTAGCTTAAGAGAACATATTTTCTTTATGCAAGTTCTGTTTAATTTGTATGTAATTAACTTCTTTCTCATGTCCTATTTTCTTTTAAATATTATTTTTGTTTCATCTACTTAACCTGTGTTAAAAATGTAATTTCAATAACACATTTTCCTATTATTTTCACTTTTGGCAGAAAACTGAATCTACAAAAGTATCAACCCTAGCTTTGAACTTTAGCAAGGCTGAAATAGGCTAGAGGCTCGGGAAAGTGATATGCACTTTTTTTTTACAGATTTATTTACCGTCTAACGCAATAGAAATTGCAAAACAGAAACAGATGCACCCAGATGAATACTATGCCTCCCAGTTGCTAGAAAATACAGGAATTAGCATTGTCCCTGGTTCTGGGTTTGGTCAAAAGGATGGTACATATCATTTCAGGCAAGTGTAACCCATAAATGGTCAGAAATATATTGTGAAATATTCAGATAACAGTAATAATGTATTGAATATTTTACATATCACATATGTAGTTTAAATATAATATATATCAGATTTTGCAAAAATTAATGAGCTTGAGTGGTTATATCTTCATGACATACATTTTACCACATTTAGATTATAAAACATTTACAATCTTTACAAATAATACATTAGGAGCAAATTCATGATATTTTTGGAATATTATTAAAAATTTAATATAATTTGTTGTTCACTGACTTGATTTAACTTAGATATAATGTTTTTGAAACAATGCTTCAGTTTAGGGTAATATGTAACTAATAAGTATTTAAAACAAACCAAAATCTATAAATAAATATATCTTCTTTTTTAGGACAACACTTCTTCTCCCATCTGCAAAACTGAAGGCAATGCTACAAATCTTACAAAAATTTCATGAAGATTTTTTAAAGAAACAGCAGTAGAGCATTACAATTAAGTGAATGCAAAATACAGTATTGATCTTCTTTCTACATCTTTTGTAATGCAGGAATAAAATAAATATATTGACGGCCTTTTCATTACAAGATAAAAAGAAGTGAGTTTTGCCTGCTATGTCAACAGGCAGTTTGAAAAAAACACAGAAACAGTTTTTGTCATTATATTTTCATTTTTTACATAATAAAACTTCTAAGTGTTTGAATTTGCATCACAAAACAATTCTTGAAAGTGCTGAATATATGCCTCACAATGTTCACCTGAAAGATGAATAAACATGTCTGAGCAAAGGCATTAAATCAGATAAACATCATCCACCAAATTACTTATCATAACCAATTTCTTGTTTTATCATGTTCTCAATGAAACAGGAAAGAAAAACACAGTAACATTCAAAGTGCAGAATCTTGAAGGAATACATTGATGTAATATCTCAGATAATCATTACACAAATAAGTCACTCTCAGACACATTCCAACAATTTAAGAAATTTATTGTAAGCCTTGTTTCTGAAATCTTGAATTTCCTTACTACTAAGAGAACACAATAAAAAGTAATCTTTTGGAATTGGGAGTGGTATGTAACAGAGATGGGTTATTTGCAGTGGTCACTTGTATGCAGAAGGGATTTTTCATATAGTAGTATTTTCATTTACTTTTGTATCCTGAAAAATTCAACTGTGAATTGATGGCTACCTAAAGAGGCATGTGGCATGGTGCAACAGATGCAATCACCATGTATCACAAATTGACCCTTATCCTACCACACAGGTACCGTCACCCATTACGGTGTTAGATACTGAGATAACCCTACGAGATACTTTGGAAACCACCTCTAACATGAAAATAAAATACAAGATGGGCATGAGCTGTATTTGGGAACCAAGAGGTCAACATAAAGTTGAATGGATTAATCCTTTAGCCTTTCAGTATGTAGGTGGGATGATAGAAGTACCCCAGGCATTATCTTTCTACACACATTGCACTTGTAGGTTGCAACACTGTTCTGCTTTTTGATACCTTCTTGTTGTTTACTTTTTGATATGTCGAATCAGAAGTCACAAATGTAAATTGCAACTTTAATTTGGAAGCTTTTAACACTAGGGTGCAGTCATCATCCCAATCTACCCATATGTGTCTTATCACTGAAATTGATAGATATATTAGTGTCTGGGCACATCAACAGCTAAGGTAATTGTTCCCATATAAAAGTGTATGTTTTTACAGTGAAATTGGCAGTAAAAATGGTGATTTTTTCCAACTGATGGGGAGATCCAATGTCAACCTACACATCAGCCGAGACATGCTTCTGTCCTGGAAATCTGGGAATACAGGTTCCTGGGACAAACTATCTCAATTGCATAAACATATATGCAATTGAGGCATTTTTCACTCATTTCTCATTAGAAGTAGGGCATGCCTCATATAAAGAAACTTATTCAAACAATTTCTAAGCAACTTTATTTTCAATGCAGCCAACATAGTTTATCCAGATTGTAAAGGCATGCATGACTTTGCAATCTTTGGTTACAGGATTACAGGTTTGAATCCAACCTCATGTGCTTGTGATGTCATGTGTGCTTGGTATGTGGTGTCAATGTGGGATTCTTTGAACTACCAAGTATCAATCACCTTTCAACCCTTTTCTTTCAATTCCTGGCCAGGCTGAGTGGTTTAGAGCCTTGAGGCTTAAGCTCAAATACATGTTACACCTAAGTCGTGGGTTCAAATTCTGCATAAGACATGAATGTCTTGCCATTGTGAGCATTCCAGGCACAATATGTAACACCGTTAGACCCCCATTCTTCCCTTAATTCTTCTCCCTTTCGTGATACCTTATTAGTGTCTGAATTAGATGAGTTTGTCAATATAAGGGCTTATGAGCCACAGGGGCAATGCCATCTGCAATTAGCACTTTGCTTGGGAATCCTTTTAACTGGAGAATGCAAAGATATGGCTCATGGGCTTTTCTAAGATCAAAAATGGTATGTACAGGATCAAAATGATCTCATGAGTCACACTTGTGGTGGATGATGTAGAGACGAGAAGCTACTGCAGTTCAGATTGAACATTAGCATGCCGAAAGCATTGCTGAAGTCTTTTGAGATCAGGAGGATGGCTCATACAAGGATGAGGATCAGTACATCTCTTGGACCCAAGGATGTGAGTGTGGATAAAGTGGGGAGGAAAGGATTGTACATAGACCATTGGGTTAGGTACTTATCTAGCATCCCCTTACGTCTTTGTAGTAAACCATGGACATAAATAATCAAAGCAGATGACTCCTTCAATACCCATCCATGGCATTCTGATATTGCCAGACTCAATTACTTAGGTGTTGGTGTTGAAAATCTGGCACAATCAGAACTTAAATTTAGGACTCCCCCCATTCAACAGAATAGGTTGATTTATTGAATTGATTTATTTACCTTTTGAAAATGCTGGGTCACCTTTCAGCCTCTGGTTTCTCTGTTCAAAAAACCGATATACAGAATAAAATATGGTGGGATCTTCAGTTGCCTTAGCTGCCTCCAAGAATTTTCTAGCAGACACTTGATCAACAGATCCTGTTGATCTGACAAACCTGGAAAGAAAATAGGATTACAAGTCAACCACAAAAATATTAATTTTGTATTCAAAATTCTTTTAATTTTTTTATTGTTTGGATTATATTATTACCGCAGGGCAGGAAGAATTTGTTGCTTGGAAAGTAAGACTTCAATTATTTCCTCATTAGCAGTAGACAGTCTTCGTAACATATCAAGGGCAAGTTGATGAGCAGCAGGATACAAATTCTCCAAAGAGAGTAATAAGCAAGCCTAAAACAGTATTTTGTTTCGTAAACTATAACATAATACTGATCATTGAAAAACTGAATCCAATCCTCACGAAGAACAATCCCTTTCTTAACATCATCTACACCACAACTACTCCCTTTTAGAAAATAAATTATAATTTAATGATAAATAGCACTAACATTATGATACAAATACCAAGTTCTCTTAACAAAAAATAATGTAATCAAATAACATACCAGAGGTTTGGAATCAGATACAACATGATATTGTAGTAATTGATGTAGCTGATAATATGCTTTATAATGCACAAGAGAATTAATAACTAATTCATGTAAATAATGCTGCACTGGGATATGGTAATCTGTGAGTGATCGAATATATTCCAGAAGAATCCACACAATAAATTTGCCTCCGCCTGGAAAATAAACTCTTAGTGAACTGAAAAGCATTATTAAATATTATCAAAATTATCCAAAATATATATACACCATTGTTTTCTTCATCTTTGTAATCAGCAAAATGAGAAAAAACATGTGTATACAGGTCTGCTTGATCGATCACAACTGAAGCTTTAGGAGCGACTGGAACAGTTGGTTTTGCTGGAGACACACTCAGTCCAGATGATGCAGGCATCCCCATCTTAAAAAAAAAAAAGGCTATAATTCAGTCTTTTATCTACCCTACTTAAAATTTTTTGCTGTTTGAGTAACTAAGATTAAGTTGAATTACAGCAAACAGATGAATGGTTACAATATCCAACTGAACTACAGCATTTTGAATTCTATATATAATGGTAAAGAAATAATAAAAAGAAAATAAAGATAATTCTGGGTGGCAACAAACCTGGAAAATCCGGAATTGTCAGGAATTTCGTACTTACTGGAAAAGTTGGGGAGAAACCAACTTTTCCAGTAAGTACTTTTTTTTTAATTCCAAGAAAAAATTATTTTCAAAAAATATTAAAAAAAAGTAATTGGACATCTGTAAACATTCTGCAATTTGCAAAACATTGTTTTCTACGAGAAAATATAATACTGGAATCCAACTTAAATCAGCCAGAACATGTATTACATCATATATTGCCAACTCTATGGGAGTACACATTCTAATATTGAAGAGCATTCGTTAACAAATATGAAAGCTTAGTCTCATACAAGGACTGTGAGTTGGATTGTGGATAGTGGCCTGCTGTTTATATTACTTTAATGTAAACTAGCTGATAACTCAGTATTGCCCAGGTATTTTTTCATCACAAACACAAATTACGCAGCCTCATCCTGCTTGCTCATTCTGCCCTTCCAGCTTCTTGTTCTGCTCACCTCATCTGTCCCGCTTCGTGCAGAGGACACTGCCTTGATGCACAGCAAGTTGCACGATTTCTAGTAACTTGTTTCTAACTAGTTTTGCAGTATAACCAAATTTAGGGTAAAGTTTTGGCATTTGAATCCTGCCCAAAATTTGAGAAGAATCGATCCATGGGTTCAAAAGTTCTTGTAGAATGAAGTCATACTACACTCAAACAAAATGTTTACTTTCCTTTATGTATGGAGTAATCAAAGAACTAATAAGAATATTTTGAAATTCTAATAAGAATAAATTTAGTATTAAAGAGCATGTTTGTTAATTATAAAGAGAAAGAGGAATAAAAATATTTTTTGGATGCCTATCAACTAATTTCAATATAATCAGAGAAAATTGGTTTTTATGGGTTTAGAAAACTAGGAAAATAATGGGAAATTTGTTTTTCTAATTTTGCACCACCCTGTTATAATTTTTGTTATTGAAATTACACTAAAATATTCTATTTAGTTTTAAAAAAGAATCATGAAAGCTGTAAGATAATAGATTATTTTAAATATGCAAGTTGTTTTAAGCTTAGTCTTACATTATATTTCTTATAAAACAAATATAAAACTGGATAATTTTCTACTTTTGCATCAAATGATAAGAGCCATAATAACAAATTGAAGGTTCGCAGCAGGGCCTTGCAACTCTCCTTCAAAACTGGGGACAAAGCTGCAGGGTACTACAATAGGAGATGCTAATGTCGCCGGGTGCAGCAGCTGATTAGACTCGCCAACTTTCACACATTTATATTGGCTAATTTGTGAGAAGTTCGTAAAGTGTCTTCTAAATGTTTAGCAATTCATAATATATACATAAAAGAGAACTCTGAAAAAAGCACAAACTCGATGCTATCTTTTGTAACATGAAAGGCCTGGTAGTGTCTCATTAACCAACGCAGTAGCCGTGCATGTTTTAAGTATCGTTTGCAGCATATCATATTTTAATTCGTTTACGAAGGTGCTGCAGGAGAGCATATCACTGTAATGGTTTCCACCACATTATATGGGAGTTAAAAGGCTCTGGTTCACAGCAGTTCGTCAGCTCTTTATGACACTAATACAATCATTGAATTACCTAAATATGGCTGAAATAAGTTTTAAGTTTTTTCAAGAATGTGCAAAGTATTCAATTATATAAGAGTCATTCCACATAAAATTGAACAGGCATAAACCATCACTATATTTTAGTGACTTGAACATTTTTCTATGAGCTCTAGGTTTGAAAATAGGTAACACTTGTTTTTTCTTTCTTCTTTTTTCTTCAATTCTACTTCTATCGAAAACATTACCAATTATTTTTTTGGAAGAATCCTGCATAAGTTAATGTATAAATATTTTTCATGCATCTACCTTTTCCTACAGAAAAATACTACTACATTTAAATTAAACCTTTAAGAGTCACGTAAATAATGGGCATTTAAGACTAAACTTCAGTTTGATATCTCTTGGAGAAATGCTCTGTTCTCAAGAGAAATTCTCTGTTAAGTGATACTTTTGAGTTTAATCGGCAATAAAAGACATAAGTACATGTCAGGCACATTGTAAGATGTGAAAGTATATTTCTATTTATTATTCTGTGGCCATATAACAATAATTGTCTACTACTGATTGGCACATGCATGGGGGTTGACGCTCTGGCAGATAGTCACTACAGCAGAACTACTAATAAAAATTTCTATTGTATCCTATTGCATTTAATTTATCATCATTCTATCAGCATCCCAGCTTGAAACTTTCCAGGCTGACACAAAACACTCCAGACAATACAATGATATTTTTTTCAAATTTTTAAGTTATCAGGTTAAGGAAAAAATTTAGAAAAATGAAAAATGTCACAAAATGATTTTTTTAAAAAGTAACTGAATTTAATTCATGCATCAAAAGAACAAGTATCTTTTGATCTTCATACTGCAAAATATTAAATTTTTGTCTCAATTACAACACGAGTTACAAACAATTAAATTAAGTAATGTGAGAATTTCCTGAAAACTTAAAAACTTATTAACCTCTCCAAAAAACATCTTTGTAAAAATGCATGTTTCATATTTTTTCTTACACTCGTTGTAGAAAAAAAGTTTAAAAATCTGGGACATCATAGTTAAATTTTCCTTAAAATTTGTGATTTGATGTAAATGACTCATGAATCATATTTCATGTAATTATATCATAACAATTCAATAATTCAGAGATAGAGTTATTGAAGCACATTAACATGAAAGAATTAAATATGGATTTGAGAACATTGACAAACCTAGCATAAAATCAATACTAAAATAATCATCAACCACTAAAAGCATAACTATCTGACAAGGCATTGAATGACAAAACATATTTAATTCCAATGAAAGTAACACTAACAGTGTTATTTAAAATTAAGAGATAGGTTTGATTAACAAATTTCTTTCACAATGCTTTAACTCCCAAAGTGTAAAATTAAACTGCAAATTTGAAGAGAAATCCAGATTGACAGTTACGTTAAGACACTCATTTTTTCATTCCAAAAGAAATTATGGTAATATATAATTAAATTTTTCTTTCCAGAATAAAAATTCTCTTTACTTGGCTTTGCATTTCCACTTCAAGAAAGCTTCGGTAAACATCATTCAGGTGATCAAACAACTCTGATATGACCACCAAGTAACCACGATTTTTTTCAGTTGGTTCAAGGATGTTTTGAAGAACCTGTGCAAAGACATCATACATTTATTCAGCATATACAACAACTATTCTGGAAATATCACTATCAAACCCTTGTTAACAATAAATTTTCAATAATTTACTAAAATAGAGAATAAAAATACTATGACATTTGGACTATATTTCTAACTTTATTTTTATAAGAAACTTCATAATAAAAGATTAAATGCCTTTATGATGACTGCTTTGGAATCTCGCCTCTGCATTAAGAAGTCAACTAGTAGGCAACGGTCTTGTATGAGTTCTACCATAGGTTGCAATCTTAATTCAACATACCTACAGCAAAAAATTATTAATTCAATTCTTCAGTTCAACAAATGTTTGTTAGTTCAATATCCTTTTCTCTAAAATACTTACCACAGACATCCCAGTTTTGCATCTATTACAATGTTTGGTTGAAAAACAACCCAATTTGGAGAATCTTTTCTCATTAAGAACTTTCATAAAATGATTGTATTTCAAATATCTTTCAGGAATTCATTGGTTCCAGGACATACTGGATTGCTTTTCAGGTACTACTTTGTGGAAGAATTATATATGTCCTTTCTCACAAAATTTGTTTCAACTAAAATTTTTGTCTACAATTCAAAATCAAATTTACTAGTAGGGGCATAGGAGAAAGCTTATACAGGGCACCTTTACATTCCATCCCTCAGTACATTGTTAATAACTTTTCAATTCTAGTTCCTAATACATTACACTAGTTATTCTTATTGTAATAACAAAGATTGATAGCACTTCCTGCATTATAATTTTTGCTGGAAGAGTCAAAACACAAGAGGCTATGTGCCTTTTCAAAATATGTCAAAACATCCATAACTCCCCAGAATTTAAAAGAAGGCACTTTATTAAACAGTGTATTATTAACTTTTAACAGTGTATTATTAACTTAGTCTATACCGCTTATCTGACAGACAAATACGTTCTACAAATATAAATAACAAAAATTGAATTAAGAAAATATTTTACAAAGCCAAATTGTGAGTAGTTTGCCACCCACTGTCACAACAAGAATCACCCCTACTATTACATGCCACTTTCATACAAGCCCTAGACAGGTTTGATATTGCATATATTTTGCAATTAATTTAAACATACAATACATGTATGAAGTTTTCGTTACATTTTCTAATAATTTTTACTTGAATTCACGTGAATTTTAAAATTCTCTTTTGGCTAAAAATACATTATTTTCTCTCTTGATACGATGTATTAAAGTATGTCTTTATTTCAGAAATGCCCTCAGATACCTTTAAATGAAGTTTGAACAAAGCCTTCTTTCTAATAGCCCTATTATGCATTTTTGAAGCAATGGAAACAAAAACTTGGACCAACCAGATTCAAAAGCTACATATAGATTTTTTTATTAGGTCACTATTATGTACATACAAATGTTTTCCTAACTTACTTGTGATGTAAGTAACAAAAATCTTTCACTTGACTTCTGAATCAGAAAGTGAAGTCAAATGTTCAACTATCCATGCTAGTCGAATGAAATATTTTTTTAGAGTAGTAACAAAGGCAGTGAAGGATACATAGTTCACATTTGAGCTGAGCTGGTTCGCTGAGAACTTGACTGGCAGTTGCAATAGGTAAACGCAGACTAAAAGGTTTAATTGGCTGTGCAGGAGCTACGGGTTGATGGTACGTAACAAAGCCATCTGATTCTCCAGGTAAATTTATATCAAACAACATGGAGGTCTGTAAATTAAGTAAAACTTTCATATATCTAAAATTATACACAGTAAATAAACAAATGTTTCCAGATATAAACAAACAATTCAACAAGAAATAATCAAATTTAAAATAAAATTAGGTTACTGTAAATTAATTTCGATGGATGACTATTTTCATTATCCCAAACAATGAAGAAAATAAATTTGTATAGCAAAACTCATTTCAACAAGGGGTATTATTTTGTGTCCTGCATTACCTGTTTAAATCTACAATGTTTCATATCACCATTGTAGCATAAACATTTAGAAAACACTTTTTTTGTTGTTTAGGATTACAATTATAATGTAACAAAACCAAACATAAATGGTAAGACTGAGGAATACCTTAGATGCTTGATGGTGTACAATTATGAGATTATCCACAACGTTTATAGCAAAACGGCCACTCATATCAAGTCGTAGGATATGACTTTTTTTTACTGTTGACATTCTGAAAACATAAGATTTTTAAATAGAATCAGCTACACTTTTTTCTCTTCTAACACATGAAGGTAAGTGCATGCACACTTAGACGCACAAAAGTGTGCTGTGTAAAAAAAGCAAAAATAAACTTAAAGTTCATACTTAAGTATTGTATAAACAACAACTTCAGCACCAGTATTGCCAACTCCTCTTGGCTGATGCCTTAAAACCACTATGCATGGTTGGCCATATAAAACTGCAAGAGTTACGTCTCTTTCCAACAAACAGAGTTTTGCTGGTTTAGGTACAACTGGCAAATCAACTAAAACAGTAATACAAGTTATCATATAAGTAACAACCACAAGATAGTTTTTCAGTGTGCAGGAATTCATCAATGTGTGCATATGTGCAATTTGATCCACAGATGCTGCACTAGGACTTGGTAGAGTTACTTCAAAGTAAAAAACCCGTTCAAAATCCATCTTCCTTCTCCTGGCACTGTTTAAGCATGCTTACTTAAAATCAACCTTAGCACTATCCATCAGACATCTTTAACATTGTTATACTTCATAGTTTTCATAACAATTCCTATTTTTATTATATTGATTAAAGTAGCAATATAATAACCAGGGCTTGGATTCTGATTACCTAAAATTTCTTTGAAAATAACTTACGAATAAGGGGAAAATGACCTTACTTTCTTTAAATACTTGAAATGAATTTGTTTATTCAGTGAATTTCATAATAATTTTTATTATAAAATTTACATACATACATATACATAAAATTATATATAATATACAGTCTTTATTTTAAGAAGAAATGTAAGCGTTAAAAACTTCAGATACACTAATGGACCTGATGGATTTAGTAGTGAATTGATAAAGAAACATGGACAGTAATTGGAAACAAAGTTACTCAAAGAAAAAGATACCAAAGACAATGAAAATATCAACAATTATTCTTGAAGCTAAAATAAAGGGTAGTGCAAAATGCTATGATGTTTGACCAATAAATACTCTTACAATTGTTGAAAAACTCATAGAAACAGTGGTGTATGAACCATTAATGAAATATGTTAGAGAAAACAATTTGTTAACAGAAAGCCAATCAGGATGTAGAGAAAAGCATAGCACAGAGACAGCATCGCAAATGGTAATTGAGAATTGGTTAAGAGCTATTGATAGGGTGATGGAGTAGTGGCAGTGTTCTTGGACTGTAGATGGGCATTTGAAACAATAGGGAGTTACAGTTTAAAAAATTGAAAGAAATGTATGACTTAATATAAGCAGTTGTGTGTACGAATGGGTAAAAGATTAGATGACAGGTATCAGAAAGTCAGATTTAACAATAGTGTATCAGAAGAAAAACAAGTAATACATGGAGTGCCACAAGGGAGTAAATTAGGACCACTACTGTTTATATTATACATAAATGATCTACCAGGAGTGGTAAAGCAATGTTAACTCCATATGTTTGCAGATGACACATTGATTTATCTATATGGTAATAATGTACAAGATTTCATAAATAGAATAAATAGAGAATTAACTTTGAAGAGTTATTTTTGAAGAGTTAATGTTGGTAAAACAAAGTGCATGGTAATGGAACAAAATAAATTTAGGGAAGAAGTTGAAAAATATAGAGCTCCACTACAAAAACCAAACTGTACAAGACCCACAAAAAATAGCTGATATATTCAATGAACACTTTTCACAAATTAGTAATAAGTTAATCTCTCAACACTCTCTAAACAACAAAACACACCAACCAAACACACAAATGTTAATGTAATACAAATTATAAATTCCATTTTTTAAATGAAACCACTGTCTCAATTTTTTAAAATCATAGGACAAATGGAGAATAAATTCTCAGCAGGCATGGACAACATTCCAGATTTTCTTATTAAACACGGTGCTCCATGTATAGTGCAACCACTCTCTCACATCTGCAATTACTCTCAATTCCCAGACATATTCAAAAGCGCAAAAATTAAACCAACGTTTAAAAAGGGCAATAGTTATGATTCAATGAACTACAGACCTATCTCTCTGTTATCAGGATTTTCAAAAATTCTGGAAAGGCTTTTCAATGATAGACTCAAACAGTTTCTCAATGCAAATAATGTCCTTACAAATGCACAACATGGCTTTACCATCCATCCACAGACACAGCCATCTCCTCCATTTTAAATGGCACATTTGTTGCACCAGAAGGAAATTTCCATTGGCCTTTTCTTAGATTTGTCAAAAGCCATTGACATTATTGACCATCACATACTTTTAAGAAAACTAGAAATACTAGGGATTCGAGGCATTGCAGGCCAATGAATCAAATCATATTTATCAAACCTTATGCAAATAGTTGCCCTCCAGCACACTAAAGAAAACAAAATCTCCTCATACTACTCCTGCCCTCAAATGATACATTGTGGAGTCCCGCAAGTATCCATCCTTGGGCCAATACTATTCCTTATATACATAAATGACATGCCTTTGGCTTTAAGGAATAACATAATAATTTTGTTTGTAGATGACACAAACATAATCATCAAAGCAAAAACACAACAATCATTAGAAAAAGAAACTCACAAAACTTTGCAAGCACTAGTAAAATGGTTTCAAGATAACAAATTCATCATAAACACCAACAAGGCAGTCTCTCTAAATTTCATGGATCCCTGATCTAAAGAAAAACTCTCACAGCATTTGCTTATCAACAATAACCCTATAACGATATCTCATGAAACTACCTTCCTCGGCCTAACAATTCAAGAAAACCTAAAATGGAATGCTCATATCTCAAATCTTAACAAGATCACCAAATCTTGTTATGTCCTACACACCCTCAGGTCATATTTCCCCAAAAAAATATAAATAAATAAGAAATTCTTATCCCATTAGACTTTCTGTTTCATGTTAACTGTTTCAAGTTGAAGCAAAGAAAAAATAACACGCATATCACATCCTGTGATGTAGAAGGAGAATGCCTGACAACATCAACAAAAAATTATGTTTCTCTCTGGATTCGCTAGACGCATTAGGACTACGTGAACAAATTGAAAGAAGAAAAAAAAATTGGTCAAAACTTGCCTCCTCCTCCTCACCATTTCAAGTTTTAAAAATAGAATGTACTAATATTTTTAAATTTTATGTAGTTGCTAACAGAATTGATATGTATTGTTTTAATACTATTTATTATTATTAATAATTAATAATTATTATTATTATTATTATTATTATTATTATTATTATTATTATTATTATTATTATTATTATAATCAAGACAGTCAACTGTGCTTAAATGTGAAAATGTGAAATGGGTTAGGACATAAATTTTAAAGATCATGTTCAATACTTTAACAACAAAATGGCTAAGAAAGTTAATTTGTTATATAAATTGAGGAAAGTTATTTCAAGACCAGGATAGCAATTATTATATAAACTACTTTTGATGGCTCATGTGCATTACTGTTCGACTACTCTTACTATGATAAATAAAAAGGAAATTGAAAAGATACAAATTAACTTCAACAAAGGAATGAGAGCTGCTTGGAATAAAAGTCATAAAGAAAATGTTAGAAATACGCTAACAGAATTAAGATATTGATCAGTTGAGAAGGAAGTAAAAAGAGATGTACTCTAACATTTATTTATAGATTAGAAAAGAAACTATTACCAAAATGTTTGAATTGTTTAGTAAGAAAAAATTATGTAGTTTATCAGTACTTGACAAGACAGGCTAATCAATTCCATATGGAAAATGTTTAAACCGGCAAAGCTCATGGAACAATATTTAATAGAGGACTGGCAATGTTTAATGAATTGCCACAAAGGATAAAGGAATCTGGGTCAGTTAGAGAATTTAGAGAAAAATCATGTTTGGGTGGAAAGTAGTAAATAGGAAAATTAGTATTAGAATATTTTGTATTGTTGAAGAATTATTATTTGATATTTGAAGAACTATTAAAAAATCATTATTATAAATTGTAAAAAATTATATTGTTAATTACTGTCAAAATTATGTAATTATGTTATTTTGATTATATTGATTTTGATATTTGAAGAACTGTTAAAGAATCATTGTTGTAAATTGTATAAATTATATTGTTAATAACTGTTAAAACTCTGCAGTTAGGCTGTTGTGTAAGTGAAATGTGATATTGACATTTAAATTAGCCACAGGGTATTTGTAAATAAATAATAACAATAATGCAAAGGTTCAGAAACATAACCTATCAATTGAAAAATGGCAAAAAAAAAGAACCCAATAACTACATTTCTATTACCTATAAGTCGTGATAAACATTTGTTTGCAAGTTAGCTGAGTCTAGAATGCACAAACAAAAAGATGACATGTTATCAGAATCCGAGCCCTGATATTAACCAATATGATTTGTCACATATGATTGTAATTATATTCGTATCTAAATGAATATCAGTATGCAATAGTATTACAGTCATTATATTTAATTACTACAATATTAATATATGTAAAGAGTAAATTTGAATATCAACGTACTCTCTAATTTGTTTAATTTTGAATATGTTCCTTGTCGAAAAAACATGGGTTGCATTTGGTTGCCCAATGTACTTGTGGAGAGTAACATTAAATTACTCTGTGGGCAGAACACAAACCAATTTACACTCATACTGTATGACTTGAGAGCTTTAAGTGAATGCTTCTCTGGTTGCACCTGAGGAAAAAATATAAGAATACACTAAACACATGAATGTATGGTAGGAAGATGTCTTTTCAAAAGAATCTTACAAACCTGGTAGAGTTCTATCCCATGATCAGTTACAAAAACAATTTCATTAGAATGAGTCCAGACAAAACCTAAAATCACAGTGTTCTTTCCCTTACAGCTTTGAGAATATTCAAAAGATTCCATTTCTCCCAAGAAATTTACAAATTCCTGTAAAAAAATGCACAGTATTATGTGTTAGAAGTGAATTAGCAAATTATTGAACTAAGATAGAATTAATATAGTACCACAGAAGTCTTTGTTCGCTGCAAAGCAAGAACTTGTTGATCTGGGGAAAATTTTATAGAGATGACAGGTCCTTTGTCTTCCATTCTGAAACTTCTTGTAGTTTGTTCTGTCGGTCCTTGAACAATCACTCCTGTCACCCCTCCTGAACGTACAGCAAATACCTATGAAATAGTACTTTTACAAAGTTTAAAATAGAGAGAAAACAGCTGTAATTAGATGTAAAAATATAATTGTAAACTAGCCTGCTTATTTGAATCATCGAAGAAGACATTTACAACTTTGCTGACAGCCTCAAAACGAATAGGATTTGCCGATAATTCTAAATAATAATGTTCTATCTGCGAATCTGCCATTCTGTTTTATATCTTAATGATAAAAATTACCAACAAAAAGACTCTATATCAAAAACATGTTTTATTTCGTAAGTTTGACAGAAACGTGATTTCACGACAGATTTTCAACCTCCCGTAGCTGCGTACAAATTTCAACTAAGCTGATTGGCTGAATTATCTTTTTGCAGTGTTGATAATCTCACAAAGCATTGCAATTTCGCGATGTTCATTCCAATACAAATGCCAATTGGCAACGAAAAATTAAGTCTGAACGATTTTGAAACAAAATTCCACAATGAATCTAAGTAACTAGAACGTTTAGAATAAAATTGTATTCGATCTCCTTATGACATAACAAAAACAAAAGTTATAGGTAGGAACATTAGTTGGCTGCAATGCACAGTGCCCATGAGCTTGTCAGCAGCTTTAAGTTCAGTCAGCTGATGATGAGAAGCGTTCTCCAAGCCTGTTTGGGGTAGGAGTTGCTCGAGACAAAAGCCCGAACTCAGTGTCAGTGTCATTGGCGGGGTTGCGGGGTTTCGAACTGAAGGACTTGTTGCTAACAAAGATTGATAAACCGTTGAACTGAGACTTTTCTCTTCCGTGGTCATCATCGGGAAGAAAATGTGGTTCGCTGCTTATTTCGTTTTTCTGTGCGGTAAGTGCGCTCGTTTTCTTACACTTTAGTACAGCTGAAACTTCAGTTGTTGTTTAATGTCATTGTTTCGTATAGTATTTTCGCAGGGAACAATTGCTACCCCGTGGAAGACGCCACCAGTTTTTAGCGATAGTTACACCGTCAAAGGCACTCTATATATTCCATATGCGGAAATACGAGAACCTTTCTATGCATGGTATGACTTACAAGCAGGGTCTAGCCGAATTGATTATTATGGAGGTTGGTATTTGAAAATTTAAGTACACAACGTATCGGGTATTAGATTATATTGCAAGTTTATTTAATAATTACCTTTTAGGTATGGTAAAGACTTACCAATTGAGTACAATTGGAAAATTTGGAGTAATGCGTAAAATAGTACCGGTGACAACTGAAACACAAATGAACGTAGATTCTTGCCTTCAAGTTAATGGATCTAAAGAATTTCATGTCCAACCGCAGAGTATCTTGCCCGACTTGTCACAATTCAAGGTAGGCAATGACTTTCTCGTGTTTTACATGTTTAAAATATTTGTTTTAATTTTATGACTTCAAATTTCTGTTTATGTCTTCAAATTTGAAACTTAAGATTCAATGATTGACTTTCTGTAGTGGATTGGGCAAGATATGGTGGCTGGTGTGCAGTGTGACAAGTGGCGTCTAGTTGACAGACAAGGAGACAAAGTCAGTAAATACACCATGTGGGTTCGTACAAAGGTAAGTAATGTACCGTTTATAATCTATAATTTCGAGGGAAGAAATATTGCTCAACATCTTTGATGAATTTGAAAGATGTCATAACGGTACCTTTCTGTATTATAAAATTGTAAATAAATTCATTTCTGTTATAAAGTAAACGTTTTCACTTTTTCGAGCTGACTTGAGCTTGGCTTCTTTTCTGAAGGGTGCCGAAAGAAAGAAAGAATGGAGAGGATGGAAATAAATCTGGGTTTTGTGGTATAAAAATTCTTCATGAACAACAGAAGAGTAAATGAACTTTTTATTGCTATGCCTATGACTATATAATCAATGAAAATATATTTATTTGTTATGCAATATTTGGTTCTTGCTGTAATGTACTGGTAATGAATCTAAAGAGGTATTTAGAGAATGCCATAGTGACTGATATTGAGCTCTTTACTGTTTTGTGACAGTAAATAAATAAAATTGTAGGAGAGAATTGGCAGAGAAATACTTTTAGAATAAGTCTATTAAAAACCTTGGAAAATGAATTCAATGAATTTGTCTTGTTTGAATTTGAGTCAGTATTAAGATCAGTTATGCTACTTTAAAAGTATGAAGAAGCTGCTGAACAATATTAGATGTGGCTTATAATGAAAGTTATTCATCTTTGTGATCAAACCATTGAATACTTACTTTTTGGTATGATAGGAGTCAGTTTCATATTTGTGAGGACATTTTTTTCCCTTTGCTATTCTCTTATTAACTTGCTAGTATTCAGAATATGGTTATGCATTTTTTGTTGTGAATTTTCATGTTGTTGTATTCAATTTTTTAGTAAGCCATATTGAAATTATGTAGTTAATTTGTGTTTTGTGTACCGTAATCTGTGGACTGCTCAAACATTTCTATCATCCAGTGACCAATGTCTATGGTAAGTGACCTGACAAGGGCCAAGTGTCCAATGGCCTAGTGTCTGTGCTGAGTTACCTTTGAAGCATTGAAAAATTATGTATTGTATTAGAGTATTTCAAATAGCCAGTGTGAGAAAATTGCTTTTGATGAGACTCTAAAGGTTGATTTACATAATTTTATAGCTCTATGAGCATCTGTGTCATTAGAATCAAAATATATTAGAGCAGGAGAGTTTTCGTTATATAATATTACATTTTAAAAATGTTCAGATTGTTATGAAAGCAGCTAATTATTGAGTGATCATGGTTTGACATTGAATGAGTAATGTATTGGTTATAAATACTTAAAAATTTTCAGAGATTTGTTCAGTATTCTGTAGTAGATTGTCGAGGTACTCTAATATGGTAAATAATTATATTCCACAGCTCTTGTATATACTTACCTATAATTGAATCAATTATGTAGGGCTTATGCATGTGAAGAAAATTTGAAATCAAGTTTTTCTCACACCTAATCTAATGCTACGGAGGCAAGATGTTCATCAAAAACTTCCGTTGAACTGTAAACAACAATAGCATAAAAGTCTGAAACATTCACAAGAATTTTTTTCTAAAATTGATATTATGTAATCAATCTGGCCACATGAAACCCTTCTTAGAGGTGTCTTTGTAATGTCGTTGATTTTTTAATACAAATGTTCAAAATAACATGTAATATTCGCAGGCATATTTGTAGGAAAGCAGTATTCTTTGTTTCTTTCTAATTTGAAATCAGTTCGATTTTCATGATTCCCAGGGCTTGGTTTCTTCTTTGCTGAAAACTTTTACATGAGAATTGGAAGGATAGAAGAATTAGTAGGATACAAATGTCAATATTGTACTTTTACGTAACCATTATGAATTCTATGAGAAAGTAAGTGCTGTTTGTAGCACCAATAGTTTACTTTGTTTGGTGGAAGGGTTGAGAGATCCTAATAACACTCTGGGTAGTATTAATGTAGTGGTCATAACGTAACTATAAAGTTGTATCATGGATGTAGCCAAACCATGGTTTACCCCTCATTTGCCACAAATAGGTCATGGAAAATTCTCAGGCATGGATTGATACCTTGAGGGGCTATAACCAAAGGAGGGATCCTGCAAGCTAAGCTTCATCAAATACACGCGAAGAATTAAACATGTGTAATCAAACTGTATTTGTAACCATTGCAATTGAAAATGTTTATTTTAAAACATTTTTTTTTCTTATTACGAATATAAAATTGCAGTAAAAAACAATTGACGGGTCTCCAAGCTTCATATGGTGTTAAGTGGATTGCAGTGGCAGTTGGGAGCTTTAGCCCCTCGTACGGGCGTATTAGCGTATTGCAACAGTAATTAAGGGATCAAATCGGGAAGCTCGAGAACGGATTTTGCAATGGCCCCTAACCACCCTTGTCAATGGGGACGGGCTGCACTGTCTGTTGTGGGAAGCGCTTCGAAGCGCAGCTGCCGCTCGGGAGGGGATGTGGCAGGGCGTCCGGTGGGTGACCAGTCCGGTTGGGCGGATTTCCTCTATCTCATTCAACCAGGAACAAAGCCCTGATGCGAGCTTAGCACTCGCCGCATCAGAGTAGTCTCGGTGAACGACAATAGTGGCCGATGACCAAATCAGACTAATTCCCAAATTAGCTGGTTAATGTTCACTCTCCAAAGTGGGTGGATAAAGGTAGAAGTAGGAAGAGCTTCGAAACATTCTTCGGACTTCAGCCGAATGAGTAAACATCAGCGAACACGGGATGGTCAAGATGCGTGAAGCAAGTCCCTTATGGTGACGAAAAATAATAGTGATCAACAGGGAATAGACTGCTCTTGTGGGAAGTTTCGAAGGCTAGACATAAAGGCGTGTAGTTTCGTGTTCCACTGTGCCAGTAAAATTCTTGTTGCTCAGGACCACCTAATGTTCCTTCACTTTACCTCATTTCCAAGATGGTACGACGTGGTTCCGACCTTCGGTCTTTGCGATGTGCATAAATCAATCTTGTCTGTGCCAGACAATTTCCAAAGCATTTTTATTACAAATTACTTCGTCACCAGTGCATTTATTTAAAATTGTATTTAAAAATTGAGAGGACCGGGGACCCAAGGTACAATATTGAAATAATGAAACTATGCTAAATGAGGCAACTTCGAAAAAAGATCTTGAAGCTTGATTTCATCGCGCCTGACAGGGAATTTTCAAAATACTGCCAGTCAAGGTGTATGCTGGAATTCCTGACCGCTGTAGAAATTTCGGATCGGATTAACAAATAGGGGGCGGGGGCGGACCCGAGGAATTGCGCGAGCGGCAGAAGGGAGCGCTGGGCGCGAGAGGGCGGAAGGTATGCGATGCGAAATATGGGCGCCAAACGCCAGCGAACGCAGCGCTGACGCCGCGACCAACCCACATAGCGAGCGTAGCCAGCACATCGTTTCCTCTTGCAGCCATCGCGAAGTTTGGAAATGTGCGACAAATGTTACCAGATCAGGCGATTGATCGCCCTTTGGACTCCTGGTGCTGACGGTTTGGCTCCGAAAATTGCCACCTGGCGGGAATAGACTGGCTCGTGTCGCTAGTCGGGGTACATCCGTTTTTTTGCCACCCGTTTTTTAATAAAATAAAATTAATACGACCTGTACTGTGCTAACGTATTACTACATTCCGGAATGATGAACAATTTATCCACTTTGGCTGCTAAAAATGGGGATGCACCTTAAATTTGAAATAAGGTGTTTTTTCCCTTTCAAAACGATGTAGCAAATTCGCAGACTCTTAAATATACTGTAGTACTAATTAAGAAAATTCCATCATTTCATATTAAATTTGCAATTCTCTACGTAGGTACATCGTAACTGGCTATTGGTATCATGCACCCAGTATCCATAAATAACTATATACCACAAAGGGAAAAATTGATGGAACAAGAGCTATAACATTGAACGTTCCCGGATAGCATTCCCATTCATTTATAATACGAAGGCTCAATTGGGCTGTTTTTACTGGATTCGGTTTAAACACGCAATTACAAGAAAAAGCATGTTATAAAATGTATATACTAAAATATTTTTGAGACTAACTCCTAATTGTTTTTCACTTATCTAATTCAGAGCTGCTGACCTCTGAATTCAAACTTTTTACTTTCCCGTATACATACGTATATGCGAAGTAATATAGGAAAAATATGCAATGCTGCGGAAAATTGATTTAGAGATATCAACGGGGTCCTCTGATACCGAAAAATTGTTATTTTTTCAAAACATCGGTTCGTCTGTGAACACCACTTGCGCCTAAACCACACGTAGGATTTTTTTTTCCAAAATGGATATTCTCCGGACGATCTTGCTCAGCCCAAGACGCTTTGATAAACTTTCTTTAAAATTTGGAGATATTTTACTTAAAGCCCCCAGACATTTTCAAAAAATTTTAAAAAACGACTCCAAATTTTTCTTGTAAGAATATAGTAAGATAGAAAGGTGCCATACATCCGATTTTGAGGGTTAATTCTGAATTTTTGGAAATTTTCTGACGTCTTCCTACAACCACAAAATTGAAGATAGAGATTTTGCCCCCAAATAAAATGTTCTCCATAGTGAGTTCTTTCATTAAGGTCATGTACATTTTTTAAAATTGTATTGCGTGCAATATTGTGTGCAATTAAAAAAATAAAATCAAGCTTTTCTCAACTGTTCCAATAACACTTTTGGTAGAGTGCCTAATGGATTCTTAGATGACATAAACATCCGTTTGCTCTAATCTTTCGTTCTAAAGTTTCTCGAAAACTCAACAGTTATCTGTGAAAACTAGCTCAAAGTTCCGCATTTTCAAAAACTGTCAAACGCCATTTTCTCAAACGGATCGAACTTTTTTCTTCAATGTTCTCCACCGATAGTGCTAATTGCATTCTTTAACATGACGTTAAGTCCGTTTTGGAAAAAATCCATTTAGGACGGGGTTTCACTGGTCTTTACTTTCTTAAAATAATATTTCCATTCTATTATTAGAAACAGAAAAATTTAGGGGAGAAAAACAACTTCGGTTGCGATAGATGCAGGCGGCAAGAGTATTGTGGCATGTCGGAATAGCTAGCCGAGACTAAAGGAAAT